AGTGAGAGAGAGAGAGAGAGAGAGAGAGAGAGAGGGCAAAACTTATGAAACTTGTTCTCCCTGTATAGATCTTCTTTTCAAACTCTAAACCCTCCCAAATGTTAGTAAGATCCCTAATACTATTTGAGAAGAGAGAAAAAACACCCAAAAAATGACTTCTCAAGTGAGGTAAAACAAAAAAATTGGCACCTGCAAAGTTTTACTGGGTCGGTACTGGTAGATTTAGTCTGAACCAAGTTGAAATGGCAGTGTAGGCACTGAACTGGATATACTGCGGTGCAATGTCAGTTCAATGTTCCCAACAGATTGGGGCCCCGGTCTGACCAGTGTGACCACCAGTTCCCAGTCGGACCTGCTGGTCCTGTCCTGTCTTTGTTTTAGTGATAGTTCCATGAACTTATACTTGTATGGGTGCTCTTGGCAAACTTAAGGTTATGGAGTTTCAAAAGATGTTTGGATTTGGTTCCTTGTGCTTATTTGATGTCCTGGCAATTGAACGCTTTTCTTATTTTCCTTACAAATTGGGTTGCAGTACACATTCACATGCGATGAGAAACGTTTTAAAGCTTAACTTGAAACCAATCAATCAAGTGGTATCGACTTCACTCGAACTTTCTTGGGCTCCTTATAAAGCTTTTGTAGTCATATGTCCATTGAATATAAGTTATTAATCTTTTGAAAAGCTTTTAATAGAGTGAATAAGGGATCTAGACCATATTAAATGCATTAAAAGTGATGATCAAAGGGTTTTTGTCAAGGATGATTGATTCTAGTTGTTCTTGTTTGACCCGAAACTGATTGATCTAGCCATGAGCCAGTTGAACAGGCCTTGGAAGAGGACTGAATATGGGGATGGCTTGTGGCTATTGGTGAAAGGCCAAAGAGGTAAACGAAAGGTTGATAATTTATTTTCAAAACTTATTAAATGACAAACACAATAGAAACATACCAGCAGAAGGAACCATTGGCATAAATTAGAGTGGAGGTCATAAATACATTTGTAGTATTTGGATATCAGAAGTAAAAGAAGCTTTGAAGAAGATGAAGAAAGGGAAGGCTTTAGGATAAGATAGTATGCCAGTAGAGGTTTGGACGTGCATGGGGGAGATTGGCATTATGGCTGACCAAGCTGTTCAACAAGATGTTGAGAACAAAGAAATGCCAGATGAATGGAGAAAAAGTATTGTCTATTTAAGAGAAACATAAAAAATTGTACGAACTATCGAGGAATCAAACTTATGAGCCACATTGTGAAGCTGTGGGAGTGAGTGATTGAACAAAGACTAAGGCATGAAACGAGTGTATCAGAAAACCAATTCAATTTTATATCAGTGAAGTCAACAGCTGAGGCGAAGGGAAAAAACCTCCAAATGGTATTTATTGATCTAGAGAAAGCTTATGATAGAGTACCTCGAGATTTAATTTGGTGGGTGTTGGAAAGGAAAGAAGTCAACCACTACATTGACTTGGTGAGAGATATGTATGAGGAAGCACTATCTAGTGTATGAATAACTAGTAGAGAGGTGCGAGTTTTAGGTGACAATAGGTCAACAACAGGGGTCAGGATTGAGCTCATACGATAACTTAACTAGGCACATACAAGATGAGATACTGTGGTGCATGTTGTTCGCGGACAACATAGTTTTGATCGATGAGACTCGAAATGGCGTCAATATAGAGGGATGCTCTAAAATTTAAAGTTTTTAAAATTAGCCGGACTAATACAGAATACATAGAGTACAAGTTTAGTAATAGTAGGAGCAGAGGCGAGGAAGTAGTTAAGATTGACGGCGACGAATTACCAAAAAGAGCGCACTTTCGAAATCTTGGGTCAATAGTCCAGGAAATTGGTGAGATTGAGGAAAATGTCCCACAAAGAATTAGAGTTAGGTAGGCGAAGTGAAGATGTGCAACTAGAGTTTTATGCCATCGCCGCGTACCAATGAAACTGAAGGGAAAGTTTTATAGGATAGCTTTGAGACCAGCTTTGTTTTATGGGCCGAATGTAGGGCGGTTCAAGAAACATACCTATAGAATGAGTGTAGCTGAGATGAAAATGTTGTGATGGATGAGTAGCAAGACAAGTAGAGATAGAATTCAGAATAAATACATTCGAAAAAATTTAAGTGTGGCGCCAATAGCTGATAAGATGAGAGAGAGTACTTAGGTGGGTTGGCCATGTGTTGCGCTGACCTAGTATAGCACCTGTTAGGAGGTGCAAGTTAGTTCAAGTGGAAGGCTAAAAAAAACAAGGGGTAGGTCCAAAAAGACATGGTTGGAAGTAGTGAGAAAAGGTATGGGGACTTATAGCCTCTTTGAGGGTATGACCCTTAGTAGAGCATAATAGCGGACAAGAATTCATGCAACTGACCCCAATTAATATGAAAAGGCTCTGACGATGAGGTATGGCT